ATGCAAAACTAGAATCTACTTGCACCTTGGCTAGAGGGCTCAAAGATTTATGATAGGGGCCTTGTTTTTAAATATTTTTGTTAGAAATCAAGTTATAAAAAGTCAAGAGAGATCAATGAGATCTTTTCTTCAAGAATTTGATGAAACCTACTTACCGAAAGCTGGCCTTAAGAAATTAAGAAATGTAACTCAGCAAATTATTGTCCCATTCTGTCTTTTTCTGAAATATCACATTTTTGAAACAAGCATTTTGATAGTAGTGAGCACTACAGTATTATATTTTCTGAGTTGTTTGTTTTGAACTATATAACAGCATTTACATTCAGGATTTTTAGAGAATATTTTGAAAAGAGAAAAAGCAGAGACAACTGGAACTTGCTTCACTCAGTTAATTCCTCAAGTAAGGTGACTTCTGGTGATTTCAAATGGCTTCCTCAGTGAGAAATATTTTCTTCTAGGACTAAGTGTTGCACACCTTGAATTTTTAATTCATCTTTCAAAATTTCCTGTGATTTTAAAAAAACTTAGAGCAATCAAATATTTTTCTTAAAACAAGACACTTTTCTTCATGAGTGACCACTGCAGTTTTGACCCCTTTGTTTATTCTGCCACTAAGTGCTAAAAGCATAGAAAAATGGGACCCTTGCAATACCACCCGGGCCCCATTGCTGACACTTAACCTACTTCCAGTTAAGTTTTCAAAATTGTACTAGTCTATCTCAAATGGTTCACCTGAGTAATTCTGTATCATTTCTTACTTGACAGTCCACCAATTATCTTAAGCTCTTCAATATTAGTCACTCAGTTGTGTCTGACTCTTTGGGACCTGAGGGAATGTAGCCCTCCAGGCCCCTCTAGCCAAGGAATTCTCCAGGCAAGAATTCTGGAGTGGGAAGCCATTCCCTTCTCCATTCAGGGATGGAGCCCAGGTCTCCTGCATTGCAGGCAGATTCTTTACCTTATGGGCCACCAGGGAAGCCCTAAACTGCTCTAGGGAATACTAACAGTCTTCTGATTCTAGGTAATGTAAGGTCACCAACGTTGTTTTTGCACAATTCTTTTCTCTTTAAAGGGCTTCCCAGGTGGCGCTAGTGGTAAAGAACCCACCTGCCAATGCAGGAGACAAAAGAGTGGCAGGTTCAATCCCTGGGTCAGGAAGATCCCCTGGAGGAGGGCATGGCAGCCCACTGCAGTGTTCTTGCCTGGAGAATCCCACGGACAGAGGAGCCTGGCGGGCTACCGTCCATGGAGTCGCAGAGAGTTGGACACGACTGAAGCCACTTAGCATGCATTTCACTTTAAAAAGAGTGTGTATATCTTACACAATTTGCTCTTTGCTGAAACCAAAGCATCATTAAGGACAGTTTGGAGACTTGGGTCAGAAGCTGTATTCTCCTAGGTTCCCCTTATGTAATATTAACCCCATCCTGAGCTCTGGCCTTTGAGCGGCGAGTGACAGGCGGCATTGTGACTCCCTGGTCCAGAGGAGGTCAGCTGAGGTGCTGTCACGTATTACCGGCTAGGCATCTCGTTTCTGAAAGAAATCAGCCAACTCCACTGGTGCACACCCGAGCCTCCTCTAGTCCCCTCCCTTCCCCAGCAGATGGGAAAGGCTTGGTGGCGCTTCAGCCAAACCCCCTCCTCCGCCCGCACCCCCACCCTGGGCTCTGTGTCCTGAGGCAGCTGAGAGGGCAGCGAGCCAGCCCTGTCTGAAAGCCTGCCCTCGGTTCTGCTCCCCACCCGCCCGTGCCCCGTTCAGTCTCTCCAAGATGTGAGCCCACGGTGAGCTCCCTAACTCCTGCTCTCCACCCCCACTGAAAACCCAAGATCTCGACCCCTCTTTCAGGAGTCTACCCAGGCGAGCTTTCTCCCCAGACTCCACACGCTGCATGGCTGTTTGACCCTATTTAGCGAGAAACCTGCGGACCCGCGTTTACAACTCCCGTGAGATAATCAGATCCGGCTTCACCTGCGCACGGGGTCCCCCTGCGATCTGGCTGCACCCGGGGAGCCCTCGAGGCTGCGACGAGAAGCCCCCAGGAGCGCCATTTGATCCCCAGCGGGGAGGACGCCCCCTGGCGCCCCCACTGCAGTGGGGCTGGAGCTCCGGAAGGGGGCGTTGTTGGGGAGGTGGGGAGGAGGCGGAGCCCGCCACCAACCTTGACAACCCGCCAAGGCCGGGTGATCCTTGGGGGCTGCCAGCTCCTCGGCTGCCCCGAGCACTCTCAGTGTGGCGCTGCCCGGCGGCAAGGGGGTGGTGGAATGAAGCACAGTCAAGACAGAAAACAAAGTCAGCAGGTCACCTGGCAGGTTCAGGGCGAATTATGCAACGAAAGTCGGGGAATGTGGGCCACCCCCTCCCCCAGGTTTTTTTTTTTTTCTTAAGCTCCTAGGAAGCCGGTTCCAGTTTAAGGGTTGGACAGGGATCTACCGAGCAGCTCCTCTGATGTGGTCAAAACTTTGTTGAACTCGAGTGATGCTCCCGCCCCATCTTTCTTTAAGTAATGGGAACATTACTCTGGGGGGGGGGGGGGGGGGGGACTCGGTGGGGTGGGTGGATGGGGTTTGATCCAAAAGCAATGACAAGAATCACCCTACAGCTTCCGTAAGTAAGTTACTTGGTCGAGCATTATTAGTCAAAAGTGTAAAACAAACAAACAAACAAAAACCCTGAAACCTAAATTAAATCATCACACACATTCAATTCCCGGACTATGCCTTCCAACAGAATTCAAAGAGTTAAAGCTGGCCATAGCTCATGGTTTTCCATGCTAACATTTTGTGACATTAGGACTATTTTGTTAACTAGGTATATGCAATTCACAGAATTTCACGGTAAATTCCCCAGACCAAATATTTGGCTGAACAAATAAACAACATTATCCATTCCTGAAAATAAGCCAGTAGAGGAGGGTGGATGTCTGGGGGAGGGTGGTTGCTAGAAAGTGACTGGAGCCTGGCAGTCACTGGGCTCAGGATTTGCCCTCGGATAATTTGCCCAAGTGCTAGAGATCTGCAGGTTCCTCTTCAATGACAGACGTTTCAGAAAGTTGCTGGAAAAGGGGCAAAACAAGACGAGGCTGCCTGAGGGGAACCCGTAATGGGCTTCCCCTAAATGATTTATTCGACCTCCTTACCATTAATCAAAGGGGCAGCGACCTGGGGGGCTGGGGGAGGGGGAAGTAACCCTCTTCGCAGGGAGTTTTGGAGGAACTGTGGAGTCTTGCTGCCTTTGCCTGGGGCTCTGATCTCCTCTCTCCACCTGCGCTCTCCAGGGAGCTGGGGCTTTGGCTACGGCTCCACTTCTATTTTTATTGGTTTCCACTAAGCTGCTCCTTTCGGAGGATTGTAGGACTTCAGTAATTAAAAACAAAAATGAGTCCTGCTTCACCCACCCCACCCCCAAGAGCACATGGAAGAGTGTGCGTACAGGAATGGGGTGGGGGGGTGCACACAGCACCACCACTGCCACTCACACCTACATCCTAGGACAAAGAGTGCACTCCTAACAGCCCACCCCACACACTACACAGAGGCACACTGCTTTTGCCCCAAAACCATCCAAGCCCATGCACACACACACAAAATGAGCCCAAACAAACTAAAATCCCAAGGCATAATGTAGTTGCTGGTGGCGAGTAAGAAAATGCAAATGTCCTCTGGTTCTCTGAGCCCCTATATCCCTGTCCTTCCAGAAAGCCACTTCTCTGCCTCACTGGCAGCCTTGAACTCAGGGACAGACTGCTCAAGCACATCAGCATTTTCCTTCTTTAGTCTGGCCCCAAACTGAGCTTTCTGCTTGAATAAACCCTGGCTCAGAACATCACATCCACCAGGTCTATCACTTACTGCCCAGCTTCAAGGAAGTGGGGAGGAGAGCACAGATCAAGGGAGTTGGTATTTGACTCTATTCAGTGGGACACTCATAATGCCCACTTGGAAATTCTGACCTTTCAGTATCTGACCCCATTGCCAGTCCTCACCTGGCTCCATCTCTTGGAATTTTGAACTCAATGGAAGCCTTCATCTGGGGAATAGGAGACACGGGGGGAAAAGTCCAGAGACACTGGAGAATTTTCCACCATGTGGTATATTAAAATAGCAGATAACCAAACCTTTTGAAAGTAAGGCAGATTATTTGCCTTTTTGGATAAAATCCACTTCTCAAAACACACAGACAAAACCAACCAAAAAATTCTTGTTTAACACACACACACCAACACATGAAAATGTGAGTGTGCAAATTCATTTTGGTGTGAAAATACAACACTGGTGCCTGTAGCAATTGGAGACACCCTGAGGTATCATAAAAGCAGAAGTGGGAACCATTTCCCTAGAGCTGAGACACTTATCCATCACACTTTGCTGGGACACACCTCTAACAGGTGAACAAAAGCAGAGGATATACTAGGAGCCCAAAACTGAGTCTTTAATCTGGCATACTCCTTTCATCCCACTGTTTCTCCAAGGCATGTGCCATCCAGATGGGAGAGGGCGCTGCCTGCTTGTCCTTGTTAACATTAAACAGAAGTGGAGAACAATTCACCCTGGCAATTCCCATCCTCCACCATCTATTTCCTGTCTTCCAACTTAACCACCCCCAGGTACCACCCTCTGACTTCTGCTGTACCCCAACCCCACCTTAACAGAAAAAAAATCTCCTCCAAAAGAGACGGAGTATAGGAAAAGAAAAAGAATTGAAGATAAAAAGAACTTAGTTTACCTTTAAAATAATGACTCATTTTATTTTTTCTTTTAATATGTAGTTATAAATATATTTTGTCAAAATATATGATCAATATGGTCAAAACATTTGCACGTAAAGTCATAAATAAGGTCAAGGTGAATGTTTAGTTTTTTTCCTTTTTTTTTTTTTAAGATAAAAGTCCAGCTATAAGGAAGCAGTCTGTGTAGTGTGTGGGTGAGTAGTGGATGGGGTGTGTGTGTGTGTGTGTGTGTGTGTGTGTGTGTGTGTGTGTGTCCCCAAGGAAGGCCTGATCTCAGCGGCACCCACATCCCTCCACTACCATCTCCTGATAATTTTTCAGAACCACTTTGTCATACTCATCCAAGTACAGCATGGAGATGGCGCTCAGTTCGGTGGGAACACAACAGGCTTTGGGGATGCTGGAGTTGACAGAGTTGACGAGGGTCTGCACAATGGCGTGGTTGGTGGAGTTGAGGTGGTCGGCCAGCGGAAAGGGGCAGTCCCCGTGGCAGTAGAAGGCCTGGTAGCCTGGTGGGGCCACAATCCAGTCGTTCCAGCCCACATCACTGAAGTCCACATAGAGCGAGTGGCGCCGGCAGTTCTTATTCTTCTTCCGGGCCCTCTGTGGGTGATGCTTGGGGCTACGCTTGGCCCTCCGGCGTCGGGTCAAGGCATGTCCCCGGCCATCGTGGCCAAAGGTGACCAGGAGGGGCCGGAGCTGGGCCCAATCCCCACTCCCTTGAGGTAACGATCGGCTAATCCTGACATGCTGGCCCTGGTGGGTCCGTGTCTGATGGAGGTGGGTCACCTCAATGGCCAGCCCGTAGTTGGGCTGCTTCTCCCGGGTCCAGCGAAGGACTGCAGGGCTCACATCAAAAGTTTCCCACCGCGTCACATTGTGGTGGACCAGTCTTGTGTCCAGTAGTCGTGTGATGAGGTGCCCAGGCACCGCTTCTGCCGGGGGCTTCATAACCTCATAAATGTTTATACGATGAAAGCCCTGCTCCCAGTCAGGGCCCTGGTCCACCTGCTCCCGGAAGAGTCGAAGCTCGGCAGATGAGATCACCTCGTTCTCTGGGATGCTGCTGAGGTTAAAGAGGAAACGAAAAGCAGAGTTTTCGCTGGTCCCTGGGATGTTCTCCAGATGTTCTAGGCACCGTTGGGGAGGGAAAAAATAAGAGAACAGGGAAAAAAGGCACATGAGCTTCTTCAGAGACTGAAAAGTCAAGAAATAGCTAAGAGTTGGGTGATGCGTAGTGCACTCTGTTTATATAGTGGAAGCCTATTTGGGAGAAATAAGCGCACCTTTAATTTGACAGAGCAGATAAATAAGGCAGTGAGCAAACCAGCCAAGCCTAGCTAGCATTCAGCAAGCACCACAGACAGGATCTCCCAACCTCCTTTACATGTCTAATAATTTCCATGTGTCAGCTCCTCACTCCACCACCATCAGACTCCCCTTTGAAAGCCCTCCTGGCTTTGTGTACACAGTTTTCTTTACAAGTGGTTGTAAAGAAGAAGGGGGCCAGCAGACCAGAGGCAGGAGGGAACACGCACACAGCCACCCTCTCCCTCTTCTTCCACTTTCGAGTATGTTACCAAACATTTCCCCAGCGATCTTGGAAACACAGAGCATGCCTTGTTGATCATGTTACAGAGAGGAAAATAAATTCCAACACAGTAATGATGCTGGTGGATTAATAACTCAGATTTACTTTGGAAAAGAAACATCCGCTAGGAAACATTCAGATCGGATTACAAGGCCCCTATTGAATAAACCTGACAAACACACAGCTGTAATATTAAATTCAGTAGGTGCTTTGGAAAAAAAAAAAAAGGCAGAAAACCTGGCATAAAAGGCTTTGATATAGCAAAAACACACCGCAGGGGCTAACCCATGTCTGAGTGGTGTCATTCCCCTTCTTGCCGACCCCTCCCTTCCCTCTGTCTCCAAAAAATAAATTCAGCCACAGCTCTGGAGACTCTTGAAGGTAAGCAGCTCTCTTTTCCCAGTCTCCTGGATTTGGGGCTCTGATGTAACCTGAACTCCTCGTCTTCCCGGAGCTTCCACTGCCCCACCCCAGTCCAGATTCCAGGTAGGGACTGACCTTCGTGGTGGAAGCTCCTCACGGTGTTGGCCCGACTGGCGGGGCGCTCAGGATACTCCAGACCGATGCCCTGGATCTGCTCTTCCTCTTCCTCCTCCCCAGACTGAAGCCGGTAAAGATCCCGCATGTAATCCGGGATGACTGCGCTCTTGCTAGGCTGCGGGCGGCGGCGCAGCCCGAACATCTGCAGAAGTGTGGCCTCGAAGTCCCGAAGGAGCTCATGGCTCTGCCCTGAGCGGCGTCCTCCCGCGTGGCCCTGAATCTCGGCGACTTTTTTCTTCCCCGTCTCAGGTATCAAACTAGCATGGCTCGCGCCTCCTAGCAGGACTTGGCATAATAAAACGACCATCAGCATTCGGTTACCAGGAATCATGGTGTCTCTGGGGAGGGGAGGAGGTGGAAGGGTAAAGAATAAATAAACACCAATAACTAGAGAGAAATAGAGATGTCTCTGCATAGGCGTGGAGAGCTACAGCTAGAGGGGCCAGAAGTAACACAGGTCAGAAAGATCAAGTTTGTGTCCTCCCCCCGACACACACCCCCCACCACCACCACCAGCTGCAGCCGTGCACGGCCTGAAAGTAGGAATTGCCCTGTAATTACTTGGTCTAACTTGTTTACAGTCAAATAACCCCAAATCAGATAGCCTCCATCCTGTTAATCTTTTTTTGTCCCAACTGCTATCTGAGCCATGATCTCAGCCTGGTTTCTTTAGGGATAAACAGTTAACAGTGAGAAGGTAAAGAAGGGTGGGGGAGGGAGAGTTCAAATGCCAGCGCTCTCCTCTCCACTTCAGACCTTCAGCCTCTCTCTCCCTTCTCCTCCACCCCCCTTCTTCCTCCGCCCTTCCTAGCCCGACTTCCACAACTTCCAGCTGGTTCGGAGGAGGGAGGGAAAGCAGAGAAGCAGGAGCAGGGTGAAGACACAGGGCGGCAAGATCTGGGAGCGTACCGAGTGGCCAGAGGGTTTATTTTACTGTGGCTGAGGAGTTTGAAATGCCCAGCAAAAAGGATCTGATCGCGCCCTCTCGCTCACTCCCAGGGAAGGGGGTGTGGGAGGGGATGATTCCAAGGGCGACCTCTGTGAGTTTTGACAAGCAGCTAGGAGCGCGCCACTGGGGCACTGGGTGCTCTCCAGTCCTGTGGGGAGGGGGGCGGTCAGCTCCCCGGACTGAGGACCTTCCATCTGTTCAGCCCCTTCTCGCTCCCCTTTCTTGCAACTCAGGGATCAGAGAGAGAGCCAGTGGGAGCAAGCGGCACTTTAACCAGAACCGGTAGGCTCCGAGCGCAGCGGCTGCCCGGCCTAGAAGAAAGCGACAGCGCTGCCAGAAAGAAGAGTGTGAACTCTGGAAGGAAGGTCCGACGGGAGGGACCCAAGGCGAGCGCGGGTGGGGAGGGCAGAGTGAATTCCCGGGAGGAGGGAAGGAAGAGGTGTCTACTCACTGACAGAAAACAAGGCATATAATAACAGTCCATGATTCTTGACAGCCAATCTTGAACAAACTTGCTGGAAAGGCTCAGAGGAGCTGCGGCAGTGCGTTGCTCTGGATGGCACTACGGAATGGCTCCTAAAATGAATATTTGAATATAATGAGACTGGCGCAGACGGACTCTGTTTTTCTTCCAGCCCCTATGAGTCACGTGAGAGCAGAGGCCCCGCCCCACGCACGGAGGAGCCCGCCCTCCCCGAGGCGGGCGGTGAAAGGGCCCGCGCGCCCGCCCCCGCCCGCGGCCCCACCTCCTCCCGGAGAGGCCCGCCTCCCTGCCCGCAGCCCCAAGCCTCCAGCGGGTCGGGAGGAGCTCGCCGTGGCGCTCTGCGGAGCCCTCGGCGGGTCTCCGGGTGCAGCGCGTGGAGGACGTGGTCCTGTAGCCTTCGGGGCGTCGAACTGGGCCCTCGCGCCAGCGGCCTGAAGCCAAGGGTCTGGGGAGTACCGTAGGGGCTGCGCCTTTCAGCGCGAGCCCGGCTCCAGTGGGGCCGGGATAGGGGGCCGCGGAGTCTCAGCCGCCGAAAGCCTCACCACCGAGGGTCATTTTAAAAGGAAAGCGCTGAGGGACACACAAACACACACGCCGCGCGCACCCCACTTCCTCCCCTGGGTCTCGGAGAGGCTAAATACTGCTCCCAGTGACAGCTAGTCACCCCCTGGCGAACGCCTGAGAATGTCCAGAAGAACTGGACAGCCGCTTTAGCTTCCAGCCCAAAGCTGCGGACCCTGTCGCGCGGGGCGGGAGGGGGAGATATTTAGGCGGTTATCGGTGTGGGAAGGTGATGAGGAAGCCGCCGCTAGGCTCCTTCCTCCGGTTCCTTTACGGAGAAAAACTCCGCACTACGGCCATCCCCCGCCAAGCAAAGCAAATCCCCAAAGAAAGTGGTCGGCGGGCCATTCAAGGCACGGCGGTGGGCGCAGGAACGCAAGGCTCGCGACAGACTCGAAAAGAGGCGTCTCCTGAGAAAAGGCGCATCACATGTTTCAGGTCTCAAGGTCGCGGAGGTTTTACAACTCCCGACCCGCCGCAGAAAGGAAATCCCACCGCATTCCCAGGAGTCGTGAAAACCGTGAACAGCTTTCGGCCTGCACTCGACCTCTGCGTCTGCGTCTCTTTCTCGCTCTCTCCCCAGCTTGTCTTTTTTAAACCACTACTCCTCCCCCGCCACTTCCTCCCCCACCCCCTTCCTCCTTTGCACCGGCTGCAGAGTCGCAGCAAATATTTCTTCAAGAATTTTACCAACCCACAACTCAAGGAATTGCTAGGGTTCTGATTCTAACCAAAGATGCTGCATGCGTGGGTCGCTCAGCCCGGGGGCCTTAAAAGAAGAAGAAGAAGAAAAAACCTGACCTACCAACTGCGGCAGCCCGGGACCTTTTCAAAATCCTGACCCACGCAATTCTGCGGCAACCCGGCCCGCCCCGGGGTCCCGAGTCCCACGATTCCCGCTGGAAAGCGCAGGGCACCGGCTGCCCTTTCCTGGGGCTGTACCCAAGTTGCTGCTTCGGGTCGCTTCAGAGCTCAAGGGCTCAAGTTGCCCACCTCACTCTCCCCCGCAAACTTGGGGGCACTTGGAGAAGAGGAGGAAAGGATCAAGCGCGTAGCCCTCTCTCCGGCCGCGGCTGCCCAGCGCCTCCAGACACCGCACTGGCCGAGTTGCGGAGGCCGCGGGCGCCCCTGCGCGACGGTCCACACCCGGCGACAGTCGCGCTGCTTTTTGACCGGCTTTAGGTTTTACCGCTCCCGAGCCACGGCTGGGGCTGACTGCGAAAGGGTTTGGAAAAGCAAAGAGTTTTGAGACGCCTAGAACCCTCAAAATGCCCCGTGGGAGGAGCTCCAGAAATGGGAAAAGCAGACGAAGAAGGGCCGGTCCCCGCGGGCGAAGGGACAGTGGAAAGGGCGGGAGCCCCGTAGTCTCCAGACCATCCTCCGACCCTAAGAATCTTACAGGGCGCGGCGCGAGAGCGCGCGGCGCTAAAACCGAGAAACCTGGGGAAGAGGGAGTTGTGTTTCAATTTCAGATTCAGAAGGATTCTTCTCTAATCACATTTTTCTCCCCCAATTTTCTTAATTAAGAGATAAAAGTCGAAAATCACTTTCGTCTCCAGAACTTTTTCTTGGGGGTCAGGGATGGATCTTATCGCAATTGTCTTTTGCTTTCTTGCTCGAGTTTCCTCCCAACTCCAAAGTTTGTTCAGAGTTGGCCTCAGTTTACCAACTCAATGTCTTTCGGGGTTTTAATGTCTCACAAAGACTTAAGCTCATAAAACGCAATCCTAACCATCCACCAATTGGTGCCCAGAAAGCGTCTAAGGCCGCTGGCGCAGCTCCCGCGGGCAGGGGTCTGCAGGGACCTGAGAACCCCAGGACCCTCTCCCATCGGCTCTGGGCCGGAAGGGCCAGTAAGAACAGTGCGTCCGATGTGCATCTCGCCAGGGGCTCTCCAAAGGACACGACACCCCAGGGACCTGCGTCCCCAGAGCGGCTAGATCCCGGCCACCGTCCCGACAGACCCTATACCATGAAATGATCGAAGAGCGACTCCCTGGATGCTCCAAGTCCACGAGAATAGCTCGTGGAGTAGGCGTGTTGGGCAACTGCGGTTCGCCAGCGCTCAGGGGCTTTAGCCGACTGGGGGCTGGGTTGGGTGACACTCCCCTAGACGCAGCCCTCCGGCGGCGCGCACGCTCCAGAAACCGCAGAACTGCGCTTCCCACCACCGAACCCGCCCAGGTTAGGTGTTCTCTCTCCATCTCGACGCCCCTCAAACCCCTCACTTTCTCCGGAGCTCAGAACCACCTCTCGCTTTACTCTCCGACTCTTCCCGCCGGGCGGTCACAAATGCTAGTCCAAGAGCGTCATGTTCCGCTTAAGACCCTACAGTCTTTCCCAACGACCTCCAACGAAAGGCTTCTCCTCTCCCCCTTTCTCCTGCCCTGAACCTACTAAACGCTGAAATCGCCCGGGGCTACCGAACGGAGAAAGTGGTCTGGGCAGAGGCAATAGTGTATATGGAAGTGTCTTTCAGCACCAGCATCCCTACCTCTTGTAACCTCTAGTACCACCGTTGGGTAGTGGGGGGGACACAATTTGCCTCGACCACAACCAGAATCCCCTACTTCTCCCCTCAAGGATGCGCCTCAGCAACCCCCTCCGCCCTTCGCCAGGTTTAGTCTTGCTCACCATAGGTCCCTGCAGTAGCGGGCTCGCCAGCAGCAGCTCCCGGGGACCTCTGAACAGCTGCAGTGAACCTGGACGAGGGCCGAGGATTGGGGCGCAGCAGGCTCGAGACGGCGCGGACGGGAATCCCATCAGGGAGAGAGGCGAGATACTCAGCACTGATCAGCAGCGACGTCGCAGGCTCGGGTCCCTCCGCTCAGATGCCAAACTCACCTAGCTTCCGGGCCGAGCTCCGCTCCCGTTCCCTCCCTCCTTCCTCCTCTGCCCTCTTGCATCTTCTTCCTCCTCTTTCCCTCTCTCTCTTTCTTTCTTTCCTTCCTCCTCCTCTTCCCCGGCAGCCCCTCCCTTCTTCCCTCCTCCCTCGCTCGCCTCCCTTTCTGGGATGGGAGCCCCGCCCACATCCTCCCATCCAGCCGCCGGGCCTCGCCTCGCAGGCCCTGGTCCCGGAAACCCAGGCAGCGCCCGAGTCAGCCGCTGCCGCCGCCCGAGCTGGGACGCCGCTGTGTCCAGCTCTGGGAAGCGATCGGGGCTCACCTGGGGACCACGTGCAGAGGTACTAGAAAGCATGCACCGACTAGTCGCAGTACCTTCCAAAAATACCCATGGGAGTCTGTGGGCTTCCCTGACTTTAGGAGTAACTGCTGCCCAAACTGATGATTAAAACACTGAGTAATCACCATTTACCCCGAATAATTAGAGATAATGA